CAACTACCAGTTAAGGCGAGTACTTTAACTTTTCTGTTTTAAGACATGCCAGAGAAAACTTAAGGGTTCCCAGCTTTTGTTCTTGCATTAGAGAAAAAAAAAGAAACATCTGCATAGAGCCCCATGATGTCAACAAAGCAACATTACTAGACCACTTACTGGTGTTCTCTTATTCAGATAATGACAGTGCATGGCTCTGCTTATTTTGTAAATCCAACAGAAACAAATGTTAGAGCAGCAGACAAGAGTGGAGACAAAACACAGTGAAGGTATATGGAAAGGAAAGATAGTCTTGTGGGCAAGGCATATGGCTAGGACTTGAGTAACAGGAGTGGATGCCCTTCAATAGGTGTTCTGGCACGTTAATATGAAATTAATAATGCATGACCCACCTCTCAGGGAGAACCATTTCTGTTTAAGCTTTGTTTTTAAATACCAGATACTGTTCAAGGGGGGACTAAAAAAATCAATCCATCAATGGTAACACGCAATCTATTAGGCTACAGTATTGCCAGCTGCAAAACTAAGGCTGCAATCCATCCATTTCTAGAGGACAAACAGCCTAATGTTATCAAGCACTATACAATCTGACATACTAACCTTTTACACTCGACTTCAAGCATAACCCAGCAGAAAATATGCTGTCCACAAGTAGTGTTTGCTAAGCAGTGGACCAGCCAGCATGATTTGGGGCTTAGGATAGTCAGTGGTATCTATGGCCTGTCACAGCCCTCTGTTCTTCTCCTTTATATTCTACACACGGGAACTCATGCATTTCCCAGAGGCAGCATGATAGTTTCAGCCCTTAAGCTTGCAGTTTACTACAATCCAATAGCAATTCACTTTAATCTCCCGTTTTATTTGATAGCTGCTCTTGCGTAGTTTCTCAGAACTGGTGTGTTGAAACTGCACTGGAATTCTAGGGCAAAGATGACATTAATTAAAACCAAAAAAACAAGACAAAACAAAAAAACCAAGCTTCATTACTTGAATCTTCCTGAATCTTTCTATCCTGAACCATCAGCAAGACTCTGTTTAAGCCTAGGTGATCACTATATACATTAGAATCATTAAAAACTGGGCTGGAAGGAATCTTAGGAAGGTCATCTAGTCCAACACCCATCCCTATCTAAAAACTGTCCTAGAAAGTGTTCATCTAACCTTTTCTTAAAACCTTTGTGAACAACCAACATGCACAATGATGAAAACATACCCCCCCCCCCAACTTTTCACAGGTGAAGGAGGGGAACAAGGGTGTTGCCGATAGCCTGCTAATGCAAGGACAGGTCCAAAGAGGAAGACCATAGCCCTGCTAGAAGACAGTGACAGTCCATGACAGCAGGGTAAAGTTCCTTCCTAAGCCCAAATGTGGAAACTGGTCTGACCCTAGGCAGAAGAGCAAGACCCTGTAGCCCAGACCCCCTGGGCTCCTCCCAGTCCCAGTATCGGTACACCCCAGTCAAAACTTTGGCTACAGGCAACCCCCAATGCTTCTGAGGAATGTGAACTCCCTCCCTCAACACCTATAGTAGTAGAAGGGGAAAAATTCCTTCACAGCCTCATGTGATAAACAGCAAAGCTTAGACGCATGGGAAAACCATCCTCCCCTCCCCCCGTTCTGCAAAATGATAGCAAACAATTCCAGGCATATCACACCATGACTGGAGCCAGGATTCCTTTTTCCATCCTCACATCCTCTCTGTAAGCTTATTCCAACGTCTTTAATCTTCTTTTATAAGCAAGCCAGTTGTGGAGCTCGGCTTTACTGTCCTCCTGCTGAGCTTGGTCACCTCCAGTTTCCAGCTGTTCTGGGCTGCAGAGCTCTTCTTGTGATCTCTGAGCAATGCATGTGCAGGGATTTCCAACTATTGTTTGTCACAGCACACTCCAGGTATTGCTACTTCCAAATCATCCCTAAATCAATTATTATCCTATCACTTCTTGAACAGCTCCAATTAAGGAGATTCCCCTAGGCAGATTACTGCCTCACTGTTCTATCAGTGAAGATTTTCCTGATAACCATGCTAAACCAACTTTGCTGCCATGTCAAGCCATGGCTGTACTACTTTTTTGCAGTGAGGAACTAAAGGTGACCTCCCTCTTCTTGATGACAGGAATTCAGATATTTGAAGACCGTTACCATGTACCCCATTAATCATTCTTCTTCACAAGCTAAACATGCTTATTTCTCTCAAACTCTTTGTACAGCCTGCCTTCCAACCTGTTCAATCATTTTATTTGCCCACCTTTGAACCAGCCAACTCCCCAGGCCCTTTTTAAAATTTAGAGCTTAAAACACAAATATTTCAGATGAGACTTAACCAGTGCTGAATCACAGCACTAATACCTTTTTTTCCACCTGGTGCTTTTCTTAACACAGCCCAATACTGCACTTTTTGCAGCTGTATTACTCAACATGAATAAGCCATCGACCAACTCCCTAAGATCCTTCTCCACAGTGCTATCACCCAGTCAGTTATCACTCATAGTGTACTTGTGCTTTGACAATATAATTGTTCCCCAGCATAGCATCTTGGATTTGTGCACATTGACCTTCATTCAGTTTTCTCTAGCCCAGCTTCCCAATCTGCCATGATCTTTCTTAATTCTACTCCTATCCTCGACTAGGGGGCTTAACAATCCTTCCCAGTTTCAGGTCATCTGCAAGTTTGCTCAGGAAGCTCTTTAGTCCAGCATCCAAATCATTAACAGCCATATTGAATAGCACTAGACCCAGGATGGACCTCTGTGAGACTCCACTTGAAACCTGGTGTCATTCCAATGCTGATTTATTTATAATTATGCTTTGCTGCAGGTGTAAACCATGCATCTGTCCACCCTGTAGTTTTGTCTAGCCCCTATTCCCACTTTTTTGAGGTCATGTGGGCCTTAGTTGAAAGCCTGAGGTCCAACTACACTATATCCAATGCATCCTCTTCATCCACTTAATTATTTACTTTGACAAAGACCACTATTTATTTTTGGCACAATTTGTTCTTCACAAAACCATGCTGCCTGCTTGTGATCATCCTCTTCTCCAGATACTTAAAGATGGACTTACAATTTTATAGTTGCTGCTCCAGTAACTTCCCAGGTACTGATGTGAAACAAACTGGTCTATAATTCCCTGGTTTCCCCCTTTTTCTAAAGAGGGGTGCTACATCGGCTCTTTTTCAGGCCTCTGGTACCTTGCATATCTCCCACAATCTAGTAAATGTAATAGCCAGACTCTTTCAATTCCTTCTGCCACTTCCTTCAGTTCATTAAACCCTGTTGACTTGTTCAAACTAAACAAAAGCTCTTGACTGTTGCTTTTATCATCTTGACCCTCAGCCTTTCCTCTTCCTAATTATTTAAAAAGAAAAATCTGCACCCAAACAGCTAAAGATTGAGTTAAAGTAACCATTGAGTAGCTCCATCTTTCTTGCATCTTCTCTGAAAAGCTCACCCTGGCTATTTGGCAGTGGACCCAGAGCTTCATTGGTCATGCTTTTCTAACCATGTATTTATAGAATCCTCTCTTGTAACTTCTGTCAGCAGGTATACTTCATTTTTTACTTGTGTTTGCCTTCCTAGTTTTGTCCCTGCAAGTTCTTGCTACTCCTTTGTATGCTTCATTAAGTGACTTGCCCATCTTCCCCATGCCTGTATATTTTCCTTTTGAGGCATCCAAAACCTTTAGGTAGCCACATTGGTCTCCTGCTGTTCTTTTAGCTTCCATTGTGTCAAACTGTTTCTCACTGAATTTTTAATACCAAGCCCTTTAGAAGATACTAGCTCCTCTATCCTTCAGTCTATCCTTTTATGGGATCTTGCCTATTATTTCTGAGTTAGTTGAAATATGCCCTTTTGAAATCCAGTCCTAGTTCTGCTGACCTCATGCTTTCCTTGCCTTAGCACCATGAATTCTACCCCATCTTATCATGATCACTTTCTCCCAGATTTACCAACACTTTTACACCTTCAGGATCTGAGATAGACAACTTCCTAATTAATTGTATCCTCAACTTTCTGGAGGAGGAAGTTGTCCTCCACACAAGTTGGAAATTTAATCAACATTTTATGTTTGGCTACATTATTCTTCCAGCAGGTATCAGGAAAAGTTAAAATCCACAATCAGTGGTATGACTGCATAGTATTTGGACAATTTTGTCATCCCCTTGCAGAGTGCCTCATCTTCCTGGTTTGGCTGTCAGTAACAATCCCCACATAAAGTGGGGTAGGTACAGTGGGGATATTATCTTAAATCCAAATGGACTCAGATCTACTTTCTTCCTTCTGGAACAGAGAACACAGATGAATATATTTTTTGACATGACACATTACCACCTCCTATTTCTACCCCAACCCTATCCTTCTGAAACAGAGTATACCCCATCAGTGTTGATGCTCCAGGTCACAACAGTTGTCCCATTAAGCCTCTGTAATAATACCAATTAAGCCAGGGCTCTATATGGTTAGGCCTGCCAGCTCCTCTCCCTGGTATGGTTTTCCATACTCCTTGCATTTCTACATGTACATCTGAAGCATGTTGCATTTTGACTGCTCATTTCTCTCTTGTCTCCCTTTTTCTTGTCCTGCAACTCTGTAGGCCATCCCATGAATGAGCTACTTCTTCCAGTATTCTTCCTTCTGGATTGTCAACCTCATTACATAACTCTCCCACTGGATAAGGATTATATCAGACTATGCATTAGAGAGGTTTTAAGAATAGTGAGATAAGGGGGGGAAAAAAAAAAAAACTATGGAAGAAAATGATTATTCCTAGAAGTTACTGATGGCATTTCCAGTATTATGGCATGAAGCATCTGGGGGAGCATCTGTGCAGTGCACCGTGTGTGGCCTGTACAGTATGTTGCCCCCAGAAACTCAGAAGTTGGATAGCCCCGCATTAAAAGACAACATTTACATTTTAATTAGATGAATGCCAAAATATGCAGCGTGAAAGGGGACCAAGTTTTTTTTTAAGTGATACAAATTGAAAGAATCTTAAACGGAAAGATTATTTTATTAGTCATGATAACAAGATACAAGATAACAAGTCTCAAGAGGTCTTCAAAAACTCAACAAACCCCCCCACCATTTCTAAGTTACTGTAAGGTTTAAATAAGGTTACAAACATTTGAAATGCAAAGTTTGTATAATGCCTGCATACTATTACTTTATGAGCTGAATTATCTGCATTCAGAGCTTAATAAATATAAACAAGGTGATGAACAAGCTGTGGTTACTTGCAGAAGCTAGAGGCAAAACTTAGCTTATTACCATCTCCTTTGGCAATATTTCAAAGTTTACTGTGATGTTTTCACAAATATTTATACAACAGAAAAAAACCTCACTAACTGTTCACTAGGGCAATTGTAAACTCAGTAGAATTCTTGTTATTCAAAACAGGACATCTCCTAAATATTTCAAAACTAATGTAGTCACTCTGAGAACTGCTTCCTTTGCACTAGATAAAATAAAGTGGAAACCAAATCATACCCTTATATCAAGACAAAGCTGTGGAGAAACCCACGCTGATCAAGTATCAAGATATAAACTAATAGATAATTCAGACCATTTCACAAACAAACTCTAGAGACAGAAAGCAAGGATTATGCATTTTCAAGCAGCAGAAGGACTGGTGGTCCAAGCACAGCCAAGTGTCATGAGACCTGGGTTCTGCCCCTAATTCTGCCACAGACTGCCTGTGTAACCTTGGAGAAGTCACCTCTATGACTCAGTTTCCTATCTGTAAAATGGAGATAATCCTGACCTTCCACTTCCAAAGAGTGATAAATCATCTTTATATTACAAAGTGCTGTACCAGTGCGAAGTATTACTGGTTCTCTCGCATCTAAGAAGCTAAAATCTTTAGATTTAACTCCTTAAGAAGATATCTAGATTAGAGATTCTCCTCTACTTCCACCAAGGTCTACAGATAAGATTAGCCCTCAGATACATGTTCACAGCTCTTACTGAAGTCAGCAAGAGCTAGTACAGAAAGGCTTATGGCCCAGCAATGTTGCTCCCTTGTTTCTTATGCTGAAATCAGGAACTACTGCAGCAAAAATATGGGAAACAATTCCCTTCTTCACTAAGAAAACCTTCTAGTTTATCTCCAAACATTTACTGGGACAGCTTTCTTGAAAAGTGGAACTTTATGGTGACAATTAACAGATCTACCATACCAGCTTTGGTTTAAATAACTTGATTTTTGTGATTTTTTTCTATTTTCTTAAACGTAAAGAGTTAGATGTGCAACACAGTAATCTTCTGACTTCCAAAGAAAGTTTTACACATTAATTTTTTAATCACAGATTCTGGTACTAAGTAAACAGAAGCCAATTTTTATAAGAAAAAGTGAACTTTAAGTAGCAATAGGTAACATACAGAAGTTTCCTATTTCTGTTACTGCACAAGTTAACGTCGCTAAAACATGGACCACTAAATAGGCTGGACCATGCAAGTAGGCCAAAAGTGTAGGCAGGGATAGTGTGTGGTATATTTTCTCCACAACTCGAACCAACAAAGAATGCTATACAAATAATACAGAAGGCTGGCTTAATCTGGATATAACAAGTATTTGAATGGTATTCGAGTCATTTCATACTTTCTGAACAGTAACGGATATACACTGAGAATTGCTGTTAGTGAAAGTATGAAACTAAAACAACAGGACTATACTAACTGGTCTTGGGAGTAGTATGAACTTGCGAGTAGTTCTCTTCTTATTGGTCGTACTAAACTGTTCAAAATAAATAGTACAAACATGATTGATTAAGGCAACAAGCTTTACTCATAATTTCTAAAGGAGTGAAACAAACTGGTGGCACTTTGATGCAAACAAAGCATTGTAATGCAGTTTGTCTTACCTCCTACAGATTGGTTGCAATGCTTGTGAGAAGTCTTGTGCAGTATTGTCAAAAGTTTACATCTCTAAAAGTAGCTGTACAGGAGCAAAGGCAATACAAAGTTTTCCAAATACTGAAGCAAGCTCTAAAGTTGAGATGGAAATTCAATCTCTGTTGACTGACCCCTTGATTTACATGCAAAGACAGTCAATAATGGTACCAAATTTTGAAAAGTAGGTGTCCTTTCTAATAAAGATAGTAAATACTATGCACTGGTACAATATCCAAGTATGATCAAGGACTTCATGTATCTTTATTTTATAGACTGGGAAATAGATGAGGAATGTAGCAACTTATCTAGATTCAGGATCAGGAGTGAAGTCCAGCTCAGAACCCATGAATCTGGACTCTCAATTTCTGCTTTTAAGCACTAAACCACTAGCTGAAAAACTGGGTTGAATTTAATGATCACAAATGCTCATTCATATCTCACAGAAGCCTTAGAGGGTTGTAGTCATTCACATTATAAACACACTGGTGGCAAATGAAAGAGGAAAAATAAGGCTGGAAATAAATTTCACCCCAGTTAGAACTAAAATATTCAATAAACTAAAAGGGAAAAATTGGTACCTGTACAGTTTTTCTTCATGATAGTCAACTGACATAAGATTTCTTTTCACACTCAAATATTAAATACCTGCTATACATAAAAAGTAAAAATAAATTTGCATTTCAGAATGCATGTGCTGTAAGTTGTTAAAGAAACAGCTGCCGAAAAAAATTACTACAGTTCAAAGGAATCACAGCACTGAAACTTCATGCTGCAACTTGGCTCCGGTGTACACGTTCACAGTAATATTCCATGTGTTTGAGTATATTTAGACAACACTTAACAGGAAATTCAACACCTGAATACAAGTACTGTTCTAGGAATGAGAACAGCAAGAAGCATCAAATTTATCAATATGGCCAACATAATGCATCTATATAAGCATATCAGCATTCATCAAGTCAGGCAGACTTTGCGTTCTAACATTTTTCCCATTTCACTAAGGCCGTCTTGATCCACACATTTATTTAAAAGGAAGAGGAGTATCTGCTCATGTTTTTCAATCTGTGGAGGGAAGAGAAAGAATTAGTAATTAGGTTTCCGTATAAAAAGTGTTGTTTTTTTAAACTTGCACTTAATATAACTCCAAATACTACAGAAGCATCCAAGTTCCTATGCCAATTTAGAAGATTTACAAATCACCTCTCCTTATTTGTCAGTGGTTTTCTTCTGTTGCATGAAACAGAAGTGCATTGAGTTCGACTAATCCTCAATTTTTAGGGGAATATACACACTCAAAAATGATTAAACAAGATGCTGAAATGAGCGCTGATGTCAGGAGGTCAACAGGCCAGACCAGTGGGCAATAAGTAGCCCCATCAATAAATGTCATCTCCCCCAACGCAGGCCTGGGCCAAGACTACCTAACTCCAAGTAACTTCCGGAAGCCCTCTGTTCCTCCTCCACCACACCCCTTTCTATCTTGGTGGATTCAGACTTCTACACTCATCCAATCCTACTACCACGGCGGTTCCCAAACTTTTTTTTGCTGTGACCCCAAATTGGTTATCAACAGTACCTCTCGACACGGAGCCACGGGAGCTGCTGAAAACTAAGTGTGGCAGACTGGGGTAGCCATCATTGCCTCCTTTGTGCACAGCAGCCCTGCCCCGCCCGCCACTCCCGGGCCACATGCAAGTGTGTGTGGGCCTGTTGTGACCCTACTGAGGACCGCCCCCCCCCCGATTTGGGTCATGCCCCAAGGCTGGGAACCAATGTACTACTATCACATTGGAACTGAAGAAGTTCAGTTAAGAGACTACATAGAAAGATTTCTCACTGCTACTGATCTAAATGCTATTGGGAGAAAAGGACTGTAGTGGAAGACAGACAAGCAAGTTCAATAACAAAAGAGCTTTCCCATGCATCAGCTTTTAAATTCCTAGCATCTGTACTCTTAGAGAGTTTCCCTAGCTTCTACAACTGCTTTTTAGAGAATGAGGGAGTCAGTCTCTCAAGTTACCAAAGCAGTTAAGAATTTCTGAACACCAATGCAGCTGGCCCTGCCTCCTGCAGAAAGTTCGAAATTCCTTGCAAATACGAATGTTCTCCTATAACTGGAAAGCAGTATATGAAGACACTGTTGCATTAATGTCATACTCTTTATTAAATACCAAACTTGTTCTTGTTAACCAACAACAATGATCTTTGCTTTTCTGGGCAAATCTGGGCATCTGTCCAAGCACTTTTGAAATCAATCTTTTTTGCAATTTAAATTTGAGCTCTTATTTTTATTATTATTTGCAAGGCTGTCAAGAATTGGAGCTGAAGTTGAATAAAAACTGTTCAGAGTCATGGTTCTATAGCTTGCATGTGTAAAAAAGCCCCAAATAAGCAGAAAAATTTTGGCCATTTATCTAAAGTATATACCCAAATGTAATGTCTCATTTGTCATCTACCAGTTTACAGTTTTAACGGCATCTGTTATATACTTGGACCTGACCAAGAACACTCCCCCTGCTCCCTACCCTATTATGGCATTTTGATTTATTCCACCACTTTAAAAAGGTAATATTGGAAGCTTTAGAAGTTTTTTGGACAATGCACTTTTCTTCAATTTTGTAACTGGCTATGAAATTTAAGTAGTCTTTTCCTGAGCTATTTTTAAAAAAAAACAACAAGTTTAGGAGAGGAGGTTAGGTGGGAGCTAATTTTTTCACAAGATTAGGTGGGAGCTTCACATAAAATCTGAAACCTTACTTGCTTTCTTAATTCTGTGCAGCAGCATTTAGTCTCACTGGCATGCTCTATATGAAAAAAAATGAAATAAACAGATCAGTTAAGTGTGATTATTAACCGTTGTTAATTAGCTAAACAGTCTATAAGCCAGTGTTTCCCCCACTGAGGCACGATCCCTTGGGAGATGAAGCAGGGGAGGTGGGTCACAACTCTCCAGACATGTAAAGATCATGTAAATGCTACACATGCACCTAACAACTGAACAAAAATTTACCTTCTGATGTAGGGGAGCACAAGAGTGGCCAACTTTACTGTCAGACGGCATAAACTCAAATAGTTTGAAAAATGCTGCCAGTCTAAACCTAACGGGATTTCATAAGGATAACGGTACATGTACAGATATCACTTTTTTTGAACACCAGAATTTAGAAGCAGAGTATCTTTTTGTGGGAAAAAAAAAATATATTACCTTGGGGTAGAATACTGGGATTTCCAGTAGCAGAAGGTTTGGCCAAACTTCCCATTACTAATCCGTCAGCTACGTTTAGATTACCATTTTCAAAGCTTTTCACCACAGATACCACATGAATATTCTCTGTGATTCCTTTCACCATAATTGTGACACTCTTCCCTGATGCAAGTCTTTTCGGCAAATCTGTCACTAATGCAGACCAGTCCCCATCAAATTGCACAATCCCTGGAAAATAAAAGTCAACCAAGTTCTAGCTTTGATTGTAAACGGCTGCAAAATTTCTTTTCCACCATCATTTGAATTTTAACTATACACAAGTAAAAACTTTTAGAAAGTACTCTGCAAAGTTAAAGTTAATACCCATATTCCAATTTTCTATTAAATTAGGAGTAATTTCCTTTTCCCATATGTTTTTTCTCCTGCAGAACAAGTTAGTTCAGAAAAATATTCTAGCAGTCATTTTAAAATCACCTTTACAAGTGCTAAAAAAATTGAGACTTCATCTATAATCGGGGGTTCTCAAACAGGGTTCTGCAGCACCACGGGATGCCATGAGGCCCCCTCACAGGTGCTGTACCACCAGGCAGGTAAAACTGCCCTATGCGCTCCCCCTTCACTAGGGGTCTCTAATCAGCCTAAAGCAGGCAGCAAAGCTGCCTCATTCTGTTCAGTATTTCCTTGTCTGGCACACTTCATGAGCCTCCTGAAAATAGGCATGGGTAGAATTGTACTGTCTACTTCCGTTTCTGGAAGGAGTGTAGGGGATGCCAGATCAGATGCACAGGAGGCAGCTCCTGTCTTCTTCAGGCAGATTAAAAGAGCCCTAATGCAGGAGATGCTCATGCCCAAGACAGCCCTTCCTGGGCTGTTTGTGCAGCAGGCATGAGGCAGTTTCACTTGGAAGCAGCATAATCTGGCTGAGAAGCACTGAAGTAAACCAAGACAGCACCAACAGTGGTTCTCGGCCAGGGGTGCAGTCACATTCAATAAAGTGAAGGTGAGATGCACTGATGCAGATTATCAATACAGAAGAATTAACTATAAATTATATCAAAACTAAATAACCACAGTTAAGTAATTAAGTATGTGGTTGTACTTTTACCTGCAAGAGAACACTTAATTATCTGAAAGGGCAGCTTTAAGTGGCACGCAGTAATAGGCATCACTTTAGAAAATCGTAGAGTTTCTGTGTTTCCATAATCTCCATACACTACCTTCACATCGGAAGGAGAAACTTGCAAGGCAACAGCTCTGTACCAATGACCATCACCTGAAAAAAAATGGGACAAAATGCGTGAACCTCTTTATACTAGGATCACCATTTAGTGGATCAGAGAAGCCAACCTGTGGCATGGATGCAAACATAAAACCTGTGGGCCAGATTCAGCCCGTGGAACCATTCCATCCACCTTGTTGGTAGTTTAAGGGGCTACCCGAAGTTGGTGGCACGGCCTCCTGCAGAGTTCAGGATCCCTGGACCCCAGTGAATATTGCCATTGATGGTAGGCCCCCAGCCCTGCACTGCCACCCACACCCTAACCCACTGCTGGCCCTGTGTATCCAGTTTAGGAAGAGCTGCCATAGTCTGGATCCAGCTCAGGGTGAGTTTGACATTCTTGTTTTAAAAAGATGATCATCTCTTTATAAAATGCTAATATTTATTTGCAGTGGCAAAATCAATTTGGATCACATTTTCTGTTAAAAACTCTCACCTGAAAACTTGGCACAACAGGCTTCACCAACTTTTGGTTTGAACGACTGACTGCTACAAGAGCTGCAATATTCTGCCAGTTCAATCATCAATGTGCAGAGCTTGTCTTGATCCACTAAAATTAAAGTAAACTGAATCTGTTTAGTACTGTCAGGTTTCAACAATAGCTAGGGATGCACCCAATATATCAGTTGGCTATTGGATCAACACTGATAAAAGGAGATGACATTATTGGTTATCAGCTTTTTTTGGTCTTTGTAGCCGACAAACACGTCTGCATGTCTGGAGCACTCTGGCAAGTGTAGCCCTGCCCCACTGCCAGCCCAAGCTTGCAGCAGACTACATGCCCTGGCACGCAGGTGGGAGGGGGTGCTGGGAAGTAGTCACAGGGCACTGCGCTCAGCAAAGGGACCATTACTGGCTCCTGCTGCCATGGCAATGCCGTGTGCACAGCAAGAACCTAAGCACCAGGGCTGCCACAGAAACACCGGGCTGCACACGGGTGGGGTACGGCACTGCACAAGGGATGCTTGGCTTTGCTAGGCACCAAGCTCCTTTGCAAACGTGTCTTCTCCCCAATGGCCGTGGGAGCTCAGCTGCATGGGGCCTCCCAGCACTGATGCAGTAGCATGCTCTGGGGCTCCAAATGTGCCTGGCACCACTGTCCAAGTGAGGGTCTGCCCCGCTGGGATGGCAGCACAGCTGCACAGGCAAGGGGGCAACATGCACAGGAATAAGGCAATCGCCACCTTCTTCATTGAGGGGCGGTACATGCAGGAGGTGCATGCATGTGCATTATAAATACAAAACAAACAAAAAAAGGTTTAATGTCCATAGTTTAAAATGCCTTGCACTATTACTAAATATCAGTTATTGGATCAGCATTGACTGATATAGTTGGTTAATCATCAGCATCATCACTGGCCAAGAAAATCTTTATTGGTGCACCTCTAATATCAAAAATATATTTAATAGCACAGGAATACAATTATGTATAGTAATTTTCCTGCAATCTGAGAGGTGTTTCGGTTGGGTGTTGATATCAGCAATCTATTTTGAACTGTTAAATATCTTGTATACATGTCTTGCAAGCATCGCTGTCACTGGGGTGAAATACATTCTTCATTAACAATACAATACCCACTTCTTACCTTTAGTTTCAGACGGCACTGCATAAAACAAATCTGGATTTATCACCTCCACTATGCGAACTGATATAGCTTTATTAATGGGCAATTTTATTGTTTTCCACTGTTCAGATGAGGAAGTTTCTAATGGAATTAGACAGACTAGTAAGATATAGTATACTGCACCTATGCAAATATATTGATCTTGCACATCTAATTGTGGATACTATTCAAGTTAATAAATCTAAAAGGCTGCAGTCACTGAAGTGCTTCTGCAGCAAAAACAACTGAATGTGGACATATGTAACACCCAAAATATTCTCAATACCCTTTAAACCCCAAGAGTCTAGACATACAGGCCACTTTAGATGGGTTTAAACTTCCTCGAACATTTTGAAAGCATACCAGGTACTATGAACTGGTTTAATGTTGCGTGTAGACACAGGGCATTCCATGCCTAGTATCTGGTCATTCCTGCAGGCATCTCAAACTGCGCTGCTCCTCAACCTCCCCCCGCCCCCATGCAGGGCAATAGGGCTGCTCTGGGTTGAAACCAGGGACTTTACTGCCCAAAGATCAAATTGCCTACAGAGACCAGCCTGCAGGGGTGGGGAAGCAGAAAGCTTCTATGTCACTTTCATTTCCCTGCTAGACCCCAAACAGAGATATGAGACTTGTATGTGGCAGGGTAGTAGCCAGGTTCTTGGGGGTGGGTTGTGCCTTTAAACAGTAAAAACCTGTCAGCTGTTGTGGGGGCACATTCTAGAGCACCCAGCCCCCTGGTAACCAGGAGCTGGGGGTCACAAATCCCCTGCCAGGACCTGGAAACCAGCTCCACTCCAACCCTCCACCCAATCCAGATAGTCTTTCTCCTCTCCCTGTAGGGGAATCCTGGAGGAAAAATAACTCTGGGAACCAACTCCTGGAAGGCATGATGGTCTAGGTACTCTACCAATCCCTTGCAGCATTTTGGCAACAAGGCAATCCTTAGAAGAGGGGTGGGCAAAATACAGCCTGTGGGACGGATACAGCCCACTAGAGGCCATTCTACCTGGCCCGCAGGGCCCCCCCCCAAAAAATGTAGAAAATAAATATTTATCTGCCCCTGGCTGCCCGTCATGCAGCCCTCAATGCTTTGCCAAAACTCAGTAAGCAGCCCTCCGCCCAAAATAACTGGCCGCCCCTGCCCCTGAGGGATCCACTCAGAACCCTTAGCACTGTATGTGTGGACACTTCTGTGCAGGAAGATCTATGAACTGGCTCCAAAAATGGGACATTCTTAGAAAGGTTCAAGTGTTATACATCTGTCCACACCCTAATACGCAAGCTATTGTGAACTTGCTTCATTTTCTGTTCATCAGCAGATTTCTGATTTGCCCAAAATATGCCTACATTTTTAAGGAAAATATACCAGATATTATTACTAAGTATGTATAATAGAAAACTTAGATAAATACTTAGCCCCGTTAGTGTGAAGTCAGGCAGAAAGCTAGGTAAAATGTTTAATTTATAGACCAACTAAATCAGAGACATAGTATAAGCTTTTGTAAGCCTGAGCTCTTATCATCAGATGCTGTAAAAGGCTTAGAAAATTTAGACATTCTTCAAGTTTGCTATATCTGTTACAGAATATCTTAGTAGCGGTGGTCCAAAACCTATCTTTCTGGGGGTCTATAATGCCATCTGCACGGTGTCTGGTGTCCAATGGCAAAATCCCTAGCATTTTTAAAACAAGGCATGTCTATTTCACTATTTACTAGTATCTAAGATGCATTAAACTGAAGACAACTCTTCTAGTCAGCCCACAAAAATAACAGATTTAGTCACCTTGCCACTCTTTTTTGTCAGCAGATTTGGTCACTAGCACCTCTTTATTTGTTTGAACTTCCTTTAAGGTCAGTTGTTCACAAATTAACATTTCACTGATCATTCTTGGACAACCTGTGGAATTGTCAATGAGCTCTAGTCCGGCACCATTTTTGGTCAAGGAAATTATACTGGCTTGAAGTTTTATCCCTGCTGTGTACATCTGAAATTGTGCTATAGTTTCTGGGAGCCACTGTTTGTTAACAGGCTTTACACCTAAAGAGAGAAGAAGATTTTAAAAAGAAACACATGCACAAACAACTTTGGCTCCATGTCTTTTGTTTCTAGAATTAATTATCTCCAAATTAAGAAATATGATGTGGCTGGGAAAAACCAAACAAAACAAAAGAACCACATTTGCTATCCTAGGAACATGTAGCTTGTATATTTATGAAAAACAAGCAGCCCATCTCCCAACCAAATTGACACCCCACCTCAGCCCAATCTATAAGAGAATGGTAATTCTTAATGCTGCATGTAGTGTTCGTAAATCAAAATAATATCCTGAGTTATAAATCATTATAGAAAGACCAAAGTATTTAACAGGGTGAATGTAGACACTCTTTTCCTCACCGAGTATATGTAGCTGGAGTTGTGATTTAGGAATTTACCTTGAACATCTCTTTTTTTGTAGAACAAGAAGATTTGGAGAAAAAATATTTCTCGAAGTAGCCATTTCAATTTTGGGGGGTGGGACCTGAAGCATTTTCTATTTTAAGCCAGTCCTACTGTAGATGTCAGGGGATTTCCAAGTGAGGCAAAACCATGGCCTCACTACACTGACCTGCATCCTAAAAGTGGTTTCTCTCGGCACTGCCTCTTCCTTCACATATAAAGCCTTGAGTAGCAATAAGAATTTATACTTATGTAGCATGAAGGGAACAGAAGATATCAGTAGATCTGTAACTGGAAGTTTAAATGTAATGCAATTGCCATTCAGTTCAAGAAAGGGAATGACTTAGAGAGAAAAGTATGGTTGAAACAGCCAAGAAGAAAAATTGCAAACAGTTACAATTTCTTGTATTATAGGTTTTTGTTTTTACATTTAGTAAAATGTGATATGTTTAAAGGCCTACCCTGCTAGCAATTTTGTACAATTTCTAAAAAACCAAGAATGTCTGCACCTGTTAAGTGTTCTCTTATTAACATTCATTGTAGGATGACCTACCTGATAGCCAACACTTAATTCCTTGAAATGGAAGTTTCAGGAACTCAAATGAAATCTGCCGGAGCTTATCTGGAGTTACTTCCTCAACGTTTCCATAGTCTACAAACTGTACTTTAACAGCTCCATCTGAAGAAATGTCTTTTACCAAAGCACGGTACCATTTACCATCACCTAGGATTTTAAAAATTTTCAACGTCAACCTAAATTAAGTTCCCATTTATGATTTATTTTTATTGAAAATTCTGATTCTGTTAGCTTGCGTGAGATGTGCGGTCATTTGCAAACAAAGTGAGCAAGAGAAGAGAAAGTGTTTGTCATCTGCAATTTTGTAGAATTTTAACAGTGAATCTTCTACACTGTTGCAAGTAAGCCCACAAAAGTGGATGGCAATAAAGAATCAACTCTTGTTTCTTTCCAAATACAGATACCATTTTCAGCCACAAACTACATTAAAGAGTACAAGTAAACTATTAACACTGTACACAAACTAGCGGAAAATCCAATATTTACTTTCTGGAAATAGTAACTTTCCTTCAGATAATAATTACACTTTCTTTTCTGTACTTTTTTTAACAACAAGTAACTGAGCAACTGTCATGACAGCCGCTGGTAAATATATTAAACTGTACAGGGGAGTCTAAAGGTTCATAGCTGATCCAAAAATCACTTGTGCCATTTACATACTTGGTTTACCACAGCCAACTGCAGATTTAATTTCCTTGCTTGTTGCTAAATTAAACATACCGTGAGAATGTAGATTTAGAAAGCTGCATGTTAAACAGGATTTTTAACAATCAGTGATGGAGATGCACTTCCCCTAAATAGAGAGCAAAAGAATAGCAGCAAACAAAATCTCTTACCAGAGAAAAAAGCACAGCAAGGTTCTCCCCTTACAGGTTTGAAACTAGTAGCTGAAGCCTGCTGGCAGTATTCTGCCAAGGATTTGTTGAGTACATTTAGAGCATTCAAGTCTAAGTAGAACGTAAAAAGAAATATGAACACAAAACTAAAGCAAGAAGTTTATTCACAACATCAATATTATCAATTAATAAAATACATTTAGAAATATATTTTAAGCCCTTCAAATGACCCCATATTCAAATAAAACTTTGGTTTTATTTTCAAATAAGTTATATGCACATTTCTAAAATTTCTATTTAAACAGCTGCATTTTACTATAAGATGAATCTCATGCCTCAATTGTATTGCACACACTGTGTATGCACAAGACTAACGGCAATGTTATCCACAATAATCCTGAGAGGCATAATTATAACAGGATAACTTTAAACGCATAAACAGAACCACCACCTCAAAGACTGAAATCTCAGATTAGCCATCAGTGATGAGCATCTGTGGTTTTAACAAGAAAATAAGATCAACAATGCCCATTTCTCAATTTTTCTATTGCACTTAATTCACTTAACAATGACATAATGCATGACATGTTAGTGGACTAACTCACTCTTATCTCCCTAATGATTCCTTCCACAAAACAGCAAGACTCAGATTTACTACTTAATGATTTACCTCCCAAGTCAGTCACATGGACTGTTGAGACGCTAACAATACTGCACTGAAAATAGTGTCTACATTGGGTATAATTTCAACATGCAAAATAAAATAGGAATGGGTTTAGTAGAATGAACAACTGATAAATGTCTGCTTATCTGTCCAGGATAAAGGAAGGGATGTTGTATGGCAAAGAAAACTGCACAGCAGGAAAATTTATTTTGGTGCATTTTACTCCACAATCTAGGCTAAATTTTCAAGACCAAAGGAGACCACTGTGATCATCTAATCCAATCTGCATGATGCAGGCAGTAGTTTCACTCTGTTACTTCTGCATAAAGCCCACACAACCTATAAGTCATAAGATCTTTCAGAAAGAAATCCTGAAATAAAAAATCCTGAATTTTCAGGTCTGAAACTGTATAGCATCCACTGTCAGCCACTGAACTTCACTGCGCACTTCACTCTGCGAAATTAAAAACCTCTGCTAATCAAGTCTTTCATGTGCAAGTTCATGTCACCTCTGAACCCAGACAAAGTAAGCCAGAGTCTCATAAAGCCATGTTTTCCAAACTCCTGAATTCCTCTCGTACCTCAAACTTTTTCTGGATTCTCAGTCTTCTTTTAGGAGTATTGACATTAAAACTGGACTCAGCATTCCAGTAATGCTGTATGCAGAAAATGTCTAGTCTACACTTGCATAATTCCCTACCCTGCTTATATTAAATATTGCAACAGCCCCCTGAGCTAAAGAACTGCATCAGATGAGAAAATTTTCTAATTCCTTTCTGAAGATCCTGCATTCATTAACATGGTTTCCCACCCATTTGGCCTACCTTCTTTATTCTTGCACGTGAAACAATGGCACATTAGAACTACATTAACAAAAGCAAGGGTAAAAGAGGCAGTAGTAGTAGTATGCAAAAGATTAAATGCTGATACAACTTACCATCATTTAACATGTGACAATAGAACTCTCCAGGACTGTACAACATGCACACTATGACATTTATCGTCTGTTTAAGAGCCAGCTTAACCCACGTCCAACTACCTTTCCTTACTGTGTCTCCTAGGCAAAGAGAAAAGTGAATAGAAAAATGACAAAGTAATTAGACATATTAAGTTTATTGGAAAGGAAAAGAAAGTTCATTTTAAACGTCCACTGCTGGTACCTTCTCGCCCATCCTCATAGCAAGTCACCTATCAAAAACTGTTGACTGCTAGCCAGCTTATAGTCAGTCAAATGAGTGACCTAAAAGCTTCTTTTATGTGATCACTGCTGCTAGATTGAGCTGTGGCAGGACTGCAGGTGCAAAAGACCACAGGCAGCTACCCAATGACAACAAGCAGGGAAATTTGTAAGGATATTTCTCTTTTAGACTAGTCTTTTCAGAGTCCCTTCTCCTACTGAGGGAGCACTACAAGTGATGCAAGAAAGATGACAACTGGGCACAAGTTGTCCAAAGCACGTGTTCCACAAGCAGGTACCTGATGAAACAACTTGGATAATGTATATTGCCTGGAAAAGGAGAACTAAGGATTCAAGATGCATCCAAGGAGGTTGGTGGAGTTTGGGGAGTTTGAAGATGCTTGCCAAAGGTGGAGAAAGAGAGGGGAGGGCAACAGTCTCTCACTGAGTAGACCACTACATTGGAAAGCAGACAAATGCAGGAACATAGCCATGAAGACAAAGGAAAGGAAGATACCAGTTAGTATAGGATACAGTGTTTAAGAGATTTGCTGCACTAGAAAATAAAGAAGAAACACAAGATGAAAGAGGAAAGAAAAGAGGAAGAAGCAGAAACATGCTAACATAAGAAGAGATCAAACCCCAATGAAGACATACTCCTTTATGTTTTTTAAACTTACCGCTTCCCTCCTTCCCAATGTTACTGGTTTCATGTGCTGTCATGAGAGCCTTGGATTCTTTCATTGCATAGCCTGCTTCTATAAGATGTTTAGATACATTTATTGGAGTGAAAGATTCATCTGTAAACTCAACCACAGAGCTATAATCTGTTTTACCCATTACTCTTACTGTAGTCACTTTATTGTGCACTAGTTGTTTCATGAGAGAAATAGCTTCTGAGGGCCAGGTTCCTAATTGAGGTTTCACACCTAAAAAGTTAAGTTTAAAGGAAAAAGTAGTTAACTTCTGTTTTCAAAACTGGACTACAGATACTTAGCTTCATTTTCACAAACCTCCCATTCTTATGGAGGTCATTCTTCATAAGCTCATAAAACAATAGAATTTCTTTACTACCTTATGAAAATACATGCCATTTAAAATATGCAATGATTTAATGTCACAGGTTACAATATGCTTAAGGAGAATTATGGTAGTAATCCCAGACCTAACATCCTAACTTCATTACTAGATGTTAGGGGAACACACTATGCATATCTCAAATACAGTGAAAATAATGCTCAAGATCCTGATTTTTACTACTGTTTGGCATTGCTTTAAGGTTACTGAGTTAACTGTAATTGCAGAAAATTGCTAGTACACATGTACATTTGTGGTTTGTGCAATGCTTCCTTAGTGTTGAAAAATAGGAATCCCCTAGAAAGGCAATAAAACACTGTACAACAGCTGCAGCATCTGGATGCTTTACGAGTAGTATCATCAACAACACATCAAACTATGCCAACGTGAAATACAAGGACATCCAGTTGCTCTTCCTGCATTGTTTCATGGTTTTTTTAGATTTGGTCAGTAGTTATAAAGTTTAGTATCAACACTACTGCATATTGTTTTTCACACTGACTCCACACTCAGATATCTTAACATAATTTCTCAATCACGGCCCCGATGCATGTTACAAGTAAGAGGTGATTAGCATGGCAACTGCACCATATGTAGTAAGTGTTATAGGAGTACCTGTTTTTATGGTGCTGCGAGGTAGCAAACCAGCCAAAAAATGTTTCACAAATACATGGAACATGTTGGTGACTTGTTTGTACAGTGCCATAATTTGCACGTGTAGCATGTCCATGCAGATGCTGACAATCAGCAGATTCTTAACAGAGGTACTGGGCAGTTAGCATCCGGACCAGGACATCCATGGTCCTGATGCAACAAGTGGGTTGCCAGGGAAGCAGGTTGCCAGTTTCTAGGGTGGGGAGCCAAGGAATTTCACTCGCCTCCCTACTGGGAAGTTGTAAGACAATCCCTGTGCCTGACCACCTTTCTTGCCTTGCCATGCAGCCTCCTGTGGAAGCTGCAGGGCCAGACCTTTTAAAAATCCAAGTTGTGGGAAGTCCTGGGCCCCCCGATAACCCAGCTGGTTAATTGCCATGCCCCAAAGCTCCCAGGGAACTGCAGAACAAGGCACTTTGGATATTCTAGCCACTGGGATTCCAGCATCAGGGAGATGTCCCCCAATCCCAGGACCCCATGTGCCAGAATCTGTAAAGTGTGCAGCCTAGCTGCACACTTAGTTTTAAAATGTCCTGGCACATCAGGACCTCAGGGTCAGGAAGCCTCTCTCTGATCCCAGGGCCCCAATACAGTGGGATCTTTAAAAACTAGGTGTGCAACCCAGCTGCATATTTAAACATCTACTGGGCCCCAGGACCAAGAAGAGGCTCCCCGATCCCAGGATCCTGAGTTTGCAATCATCATGTGGAGGGAATCAATAACAGCTTCATCCAGTGCTTGCAAACCCATGTCCCACACTCCCTGCTGGCGGTAGCATGATTGGGATCTCGTTTCCAATTTCATTCTTGCCTCCAACCATATACACATGGCATGGCAGGAGGCAAGTGTTAGAATCTGGGATCAGATCCCTTCACACCATTAATTAAACATCTGCAAACTCCATTAAATCAAGAAACTGTTTTGCAACATTGACTGAGGCAAAGAAATTCAAATGAATCTCTCTTGCAATACCAAAAAAAAAAAAGTCAGTTCATGCACCCAGTATAATGTTATTTGGAAGAAAGACTCCATTCAGGGCATGCCCCACATATATTGGTCCCATTCAGATGGTAAATAGGGTGTCATTCTATGGTTTCCTCTCAAAGATAACTGAAGCCCAAGAAGTATTTTAACTCTGACCTCCGAGCATGATCAATCTGAATACTTACATGTTCACAAAGCTAAAGTAATGTTCAAAAGCATCAAAAGGAACAGTTCTGAACTGGGTGTGTTTGTGTTTGACCAAAAGAGTGTTAGAGACGTCTAAAAAGTTCACAGTCAGATTCTGCTAGCATTTTCATCAGATAAGTCTGTGCAGACCAGAGCATGCCAGAAAACTGTACTTTCCACTCTGTGAGCAGCATCACAGATCAAAAGAGAGGTCTGGTACATATAGCTGTCTAACCAAGGGTACCTGTACTGCACCTGTGTAGATCTGTTAAAACTGAAAAATGTTCTAAGTGGCAGGAGGGGATGGTTTGTCATTGTTGTTGTTGATTTTACTGCTAGGGATAACTATGCACATCTGAATAGATTTTAGTCTTAAGAATTTTAGTGTTATCATTATAAAGTATGTTTCCATAGTTATTACCATTAACCTCATCCTCCCACTTGGTCAGTGGCATAATCTTATCTTCAGGTACATTCTTTAAAAGGTTTCCCCAAAATGTTGAATAATTATTTTGTATTTTGACATACAACAGCTTGCAATTTCTTACCTGCTAAAGTACACTTTATAGCTTGCATCGGCAACTCCAACAATTTTGGAACCACAGGCCGAAGTCTGGTTATCTGAAGCGTTTCAAAATTACCATAATCTATATAGCCTACCAAAGCAGTATCTTCAGAAATATATGCTATAATAGAAGCACGATACCACTGATTGTCCTCTGGAGAGAAGATGGAGACAAACATGTAGCGCAGGTAAATTTCTTCCACTAAAAGTATTTTTTGATAATACAATATAAAAATGCAACAGCAATCACAGTCTAGAGTTTATACTAGTGTTATAGGCTGAATTACAACTCACTGAAGCTGGTAAGCGAGCCCTTTATTTGGAACAAACAGAAGAATCTATTATGCTCCTTTATAAAAACAGATTGTGGAAACAATAGGAATCGCCACCTTACAAGATGCACTGCTGTCCAAAATGAAGAAAGAAAAACAAACAACCCCCCCTAAACAACTGAGCTCTGTGAATGGGGTTTCTGGATATTGCTTAGTAAATAAAAGTAATTTTCTCTTTAACAAATCAATCAAATTCTATATAAACTGAGGGGTTTGTTTGGTTTTTTTTTAAATGAACACTTGTCATTTTTAAAATTAAATTTGTCACTTTTAAGTTATGGGCAATATAGTTCAGGGCCAAATATACAATGCATTGAAACAGATTACTGAGAATGGCTGTGGAACCTTCATACAGACTAGGAAAACAGGGAGCAGCAGTTGGACTAATGGCCCCTGGAAGTCCCTTCCAGCTTTATTTTTCTATGAACCGCAATATCACAATATTCTCAAAAGTAAAAAAAGACACAAGCAATTTTTGCTGCATAACTGAATTCCCTCTCCAAGTATAAAGTAGTACTGCTACCTATAACACTAGGTTCTGTGTTCCCTTAATTGGTCTTAGAGTACAGGGCTCTCCTAAATAGTTTGACCAGAAAATGGAATAAATTTAGGCCTACTGGCTGCTTACAGGTGTTAAAAAAACAGAAACAAAGCAAAACAGTGCTTCACTATCAACTTGGCATGCTCCTGTGCCGAGCCCAGCACATGCCCAGAAGAGGCAGTGCATTAGTCTGACCCGCCTCACCCAATGTCTGTATGGATTGTGCACTTTACCGGGGGGGGAAGGTTAGTGCTTTTATCTAATAGTTGTTAAATCAACTATTAGATAGAAGCACCAAAAAGCCCTGTGTAAGTGCACGATTTATAGATGCTGCAGACCCAGATTAAACTAGCATGGTGCTTCTAGTAAGACATGGATTTTTAAGGGTTTATTTTTTTTAATATCTGTAAGCAACCATAAATAGTAGAGATGTGCGAAGCAGGCAGCATTTGATTTGGATTCGGCCGATTCGGGGAACAACGATTCAATTCGCTGATTCGGATCACAGTGCCGATTTGGATCTGGCTGAATCTGAAGATTCTATTCTGATTCAGAGAGGTTTGATGATTTGGCCACAGACACAGCTTTACAGGGGTTTTTTTTGTTTGGTTGTTTGTTTTTTTTTGTTTTGTTTTGTTTTTGTTTTTTTTTTTTTTTTTTACACATACCTTGAAGCACCAGGTGTGGCTCATGCTCCATCCGCCCCACCATCTCAGCGTTCATCTCACAGGAGTGAGATGGCCCCCCCCCGCATGCTCGGCAGCAGACCCAGAAGTGGACAGGAACTATTTCCGGTCCACTTCTGGGTCTGCCACCCAGCATGCGGGGGACCACCGCCCACCCCCCTGGCTTGGCTATCAGCCATGGGGGGGCCCTGGGTACCCCCCAGACCCAGGAGACACCGGTCACTGAGCCGGGGGGCAGGTCCCCCACATGCTCTGCAGAGGACCCAGAAGTGGACCAGACGTGCTTCTGGGACACTACATCCACCCCACCATCTCAGCATTCACGGCCACATGTGGTACCTTGAGGTAGGTAGAAAAAGCACATAAAGCTGAGTCTATGGCCAAATCGTCAAATCTCTCCAAATCGATTCAGAGGCTTCTGATTTGATTAGGAGAGATTAACAGGTCCCCCAATTCAATTTGAAGATTCAGCCACTGATTCGGGCCAAACCTCCTCTGAATCGAATCAGCGACTGAAGCTTCACACAGCCCTAATAAGCAGTACTCTTCTTCCAGCTTAAAGGCTCTCTCTAGAGGTTCACCAATATATCAGTCTATATTGGACCAGCACTGATAAAAGGAAAACTGACATTAAGTTGGCAACTGGCTATTTTTGGCTGGTGTAGCTGATAACATCACTGATAAATGCTGTGTGCATGCATGCAGCCACAACATACACAGGCCCAAGAATGCAGGTCAACAGCTTGAAAACAATGTTTGGTGGGTAGGGAGGGAGTGGGGCTGGGGCAGGCACTGCTCAGCCAGGGCAGGGTGCAAGATGCAGCTGCGGGCAGCAGAGGCGAGTCCCCACTGCTCTCTGCTTCCCCAGGGCAGTCATGGGGGCTTTACCTCCCTGGATTTGTGCGTGGGGCAAGGGCAGGCTGCTTACTGCAGGCTCAGGGCCAGGGGTTGTGCTGGCTTCTTCCCGGATGGGGGACTAGGCTGGGGCTATGCTCCAGGGGTGGCCGGTCAGCAGCACTGGGAGAGGTGGCTACAAAGTAGGCTACAGGCAGCCCAAAATTTGCTGTAGGCATCCCATAAAACCCCCCCACACCTCCCCAAACACTGCCACTGCCTGCCCTGGCCCAGCCCTGTCAGGAAGAGGCCAGAACCCACAGTGGGCAGCCTGACCTCGCCCCACACCAATCCAGGGGCACATGCCCCCCCTGGGGGTACGCACAGCAGCAGGGAGCCACCCTCCTCCCCATCCCTCCAGATGAGCTGCCTATGGCTCTGTCCTGCACCCCACCCCAACTGGGCAGTACCAGCACTCGCCCCTGCCCCACTCCCTCCCTCTCCACAAGGGACTCTATCTGCACCCTACCACAGCCTCTTCGCCCCTCCCCCAACAGACTTACTGGCTAGACGCTGCTCTTCAAGCTGCCAGACTGCATATCGGCTTTTTTCGATCGGTATTGGCCAATATGGCTGGTTAATAATCGGCCATTGGCATCAGACAGAAAAATCTTTATCAGTGCACCCCTAGCTCTCTCCTCAGCTTACAGTTTCTCTGTGGTCTTCCTAAATGTAGTTCTACCCAACAATTTGTCCAGTACTACCCATTTGCCTGGTGTGGCTACATGTTCCATCAGTGCTGGCCAAAGTGACTGCTATCACTGACAATTTTGTCCACAGTTAAATTGGACAGGAGCAAAGTGATTAGAAACCTGTAGAAGGTTACTGGGCTTCTAAGAGATTTAAAACTGAATTAGTGAAAACCTGCTTTGTCATTTAAATCGGTTTAGAAATCCTTTGAAGTTTTAGCTTATACATGTGATACAAGGCAAATTTTAAAAAGGGCTATTAACAGCTTCTGAGAAGCATTCTTTCCTTCCTCCTTTACCTGTAAACTTAGCACAACAGACATCACCAACAGCTGGACGGAAGTCTGAGGTACTAGGAATTTTGTTACAGTATTCACATAGGGTTGCCTGAAGCTCAGCGAGTTCGCCTGTTGATAGTTTTGGAAAAACATACATTAAGTCATTTATTAGACAAGCATTACAATATAAAATCCTTCATATCTATATATAAAGATAACATTATATGATCTAACTTAACCATATCATAATATTTTGCGTCAAGAATAAAGTATTTTTAGTGCTTGAAAACAGCAGAATTATTTGTAATTCTGCAGACAATTTATGGATTACTTGTAGTATAATATGATAGGATTCTTTTTTAATCCTCAGCTATAGAAAAGACATGCCAAAACTGTGATGTCTAGTAAAAGCACCTCTGAGAAATGTCTTAGAGAATCCTTTGCCAAAACTCGCAATATGTGCATTTTCAAGAGTGTAATGAGTAAATTAAAGATTTACAGAGAAATCACAGAGCCCCCTGTGACTTTAAGGAATGCAAAGCAACTTTTTGCTTCCTATGGCTGGCACAAAAGAAACTTTTCTTATCAAGTTAACCTTTGGTCCTGATAAAGAATTCTGAGGACAGCTTTCCTCTAATCTTCTTCTTTGGCAATCTCTCACAGTTAAGGATGACTGTCTTCCATGGATGTTTTACCTGTGGGTCTAACAATGGCTGATCCAGGATCAGCCAACTCCGTTTCAATTTGGACTTGTGTTTCCGTGTGGGGCAGATGGCTCTGGATTCTTGATTTGGTCCATGACACACTACTTCTGCCACTCCCGCTTTTCCATTTCCTCCTGTCATTGTAAGGTTTCAAAGTTCTGAGCTACTTGCAACAGGGTCTTCCTCCGTTTGAGGTGGTCCTGAGCAATATTCTCCCACAAGTTCATGTCCATGTTGCATTTTTTCCAAGCTGGCCTTGAAGCGCTTTTTTTGCCCTCACTCTTGAGCATATGCCTCAACTAAGCTGGGAGAATAAAACTTGCTTCGGGAGTCTGGAGTTGGACATCCAGAGGACGTGGCCAGCACAGTGAAGTTTATGTCAGATGATCATCATCTTGATGCGTGCAGTGTTTGCTTGCAAGAGGACACTAGTGTTGGTTCTCACTGGATTCAAAGGAACTTCCGCAGGTAGCACTGATGGTAGTTCAGCAGCAACTTGGACAATGTATAGGAGACACCTCATGTCTCAGCTTTGTAAGGTAAGGTGAGAATTACAACTGCTTGATAAACCATGAACTTGGTTTTGGATTTGATGTCTCAATCTTCAAACACCCATTTTCTCAGGAGTCCAAAGGCTGCACCTACACATTTGAGGTGATGCTGGATTTCTTCGAGTGTCAGCCTTCTACAAGAGATGGCTTCCAAGATATGGGAAATACCCAGTTCTTCAGAGGCTCACCATACATTTGAATTAACAGAGAGCTGGAGAGTGCTCACCAAGAACTTGTTGATAGGGGACCTTAGTTTTCTGAATGTTAAGCATCAGTCTCATTTTCTTGTATGCCTCAGTAAGGACACCAACTATTGCCTGAAGATCTGCTTCTGAGTAAGTACACACTACAGCATCAGTGTACTGGAAATCAATGATTGAGGTCAGGGTGGTCTTGGTTTTGAGTCAGTCAGCTGAGGTTAAACAGCTTGCAATCCACTTGGTAGTTTAGCTCCACTGACTGGAAGCTTGTTGGTGATCAGATGTAGCATTATAGTAAAGAATATTGAGAAGAGAGTGTTTGAGCAATGACACAGCCTTGCTTAACTCCTGTCTTAACCACAGAAGGATCCATGATAGATCCTTTTGTAAGAACCACTGCTTGCATACAGTCATGGAGCAGGCAAAGAACAGTGATGAATGTCAGTGAGCATCCTTACATCAGAAGGATCCTCTACAGTGCTTCTCGGTTGCTGGAATCAAAGGCTTTCATGAGATCAAAGAAGTACATATAAAGAGGTTTATGTTGTTCCTGGATTTTTCCTGCAGCTGGCAAGCAATGATCACATCAGTTGTGCTTCCTGATGCCCTAAGCCACACAGATTCTGGGAGGAGCTCTTCAGCAAGTGGAAGGAGACTGTTCAGGAGGGTTCTCAGAGTCATCTTTCCTGTGGCAGACAGCAAGGTAATCCCTTTTTAGTTACCAGTCAGACT